TCCTAGGATTTCCGGATCTCCGGCTACCTCTTTTTCCTTGTTACTTCTAATGTTCTCATACACATGCATAAATACAATGAGATAATGAAAAAAGAAAATCATTCTTTTAAGATAACAGAAATGGACTTCCCATTAAACTACAAAGCCAACATTTCTCTTGCAAAAGCACTTGCCCATACCAAATTATTTACTCCAATTTAACAAAAACATTTTTTGGAGTTTATTTATAAATTATAATGGCTCTCTGCTTCTCTAGGCTTATATTTATTGAGAATGTATCATTCCTCCAAGTGGTCCAGTTGACGTCCTCCTCCATTCCGGAATGACAAATCTAATTGGTATCTTTTCTTCCCCTTTTCCTTCCCAGTATTTGCTTCAGAGGTGACATTGATTTTTGCCCTTTATTTGCACCTCGAGAAATGGAACTAGTGGATAATTGATTTGGTTGAATCAATTATATTCCATGCACTCAAATCATAATCAGTCAATTTGCTTTTCTAGTTTAAATGTTCTACCATTTGACAATGGAAGCAACAGTGAGCAGTTGAGAACTTTGTATTATTCTCGTTCCAAAGCTTTTAAGTAAGGGTTCGTTTTGATCGTGGTCAGAATTGGAATAAAAATTGGAATGGTCTATTTTTATATCCTATTTGATTAAAATAGGAACCAGAATTGAAATTGGAATCAGTTGGAATAGAATCTCATTTTTAAGGAAGGGTGAGGGAATAACCATTCCCTTAAATGTGAAAATGCCATTCCACCAAAAATAGAAATGAAATTTTGATTCGTCCGATCAAATAGTTAAAATCAAAATAACTAATTCTAAACCCTTATTCCCATGAATCAAACGGGCCATAAGTTATATTCTTTGTAGGTGAAATAAGAGAACATACGCAGAATGCATTTGAAATAACATGCAATATCCGGATGGAATAGAATTTCACCCAAATTCTACCATTTCCCAAGAAAATACAAGTTCAAACTTGTAAGGTTGAAAGCATCAATGTGCTCCATATTGAAAAAATATCAATATTGAGCCACTAAAAGCTTTGAAACTCACAGTTTTATAAACTAACCATTATTTCATACCTACTGCTACTATTTAAATTTGACATAAGTTCTGACTCCTAATATTTTGCATATCCCAAGGTTAATACAAAATGTAAAAAGTCTAGAAACAAATTTCAAGTATGACAAGGAGAAGAAATTGAATAACTATGCTTGGCCATCACATGAGCTACGTACATTAGTCCTAGACCAAGTACGTATATGCCACTGAACACCGAGGGATATATCGATTAGGCACAATATAAGTAAGCATGTTAAATGAATACTGTGTTTATCATATCCGAACCGGATCCAATCAGCATCGCACAATCAGCAAAAATTGTGATAATACGCCATGTAGAAATGTAGCTTTCCTCCAATAGGGAATTGATAATATTAAGAGTCTCCCGCAAGAATTACATCCAAAAGGCTTAGACCTAGTCAGTACCTCTATTTCTTCGACTGAAACCTAAGATAATCTTTTTACCTGACTTGCTACAAAACTACCTTCATTTGTAGTCTCTGATAATCACACCCATTCCAGAGTAAAAGGTGTATAGAGCCATCAACATTTATCTTATATGAGGGGTGACATGATTTCACCCATCCCACCACCTGAACCCCTATAACCACAGAATTAGAATCACCAGCAATTTGTCTCTTTCTATCTATCAACTCCATGAACTCCACAATGTAATTCATTGTGCAGAAAATTCATGAGAAAATTCACAAGAAGAGGAAATGGAACGACTGACAGTTTTTTTCCCAGTGCTTGTCTTGGGCCTGTGGATTCCACAGTCAACGGCAGTCTGGGCCCATCAATAATTCTCGCTTTCAGATTTTGGAACCTTTGTATATATGGGTCTTATCCAAGAGATTTGGCTTGATTTGGAACTTAAAGAAAAAGAAAAAAAAAACCATTAATAAGTGCAGGTAAAAATGTTCTTAACTGGGTTGGGCGAAGGTTCCATTGGATATAAGAGACAATCCAATTAATTAGGCGGGACTCGACCAATGGTAGCTGCCCATGCTTTGACCTGAGCCATAACTCTACTTCATATTACAGTGTAGAGCAGTGCTGCAATGAAGAGTACGCCCTGAGAGGCTGAGATATGACAAACTCTGTTTAGTGTAACCATGGGTCCATGTGCGGTGAAGTTTAAGACCTACCTATATTGGGTTCTGAATTTAGCCATGTCTCACACACCAAAGCTCAGCATGAATGGGTGATGGCAACTGTTATATGTTTTCACCTTCTGACCTTGCTCTGATTTTTCGGTAGGTGATTGGTTAGATGAGTTTTATGCAACAACAGGCCCCAAGAAGTAATTAGGAAAGGTAAATTAAGGTGATAGTGTTATTTGATTCTTAGTTTTTAATAGTAAGTTAAATGATCAGAGATCAATGTAAATAGCTTTTCTTAGTGTTATGATCCTCTCATCACATGTAAAATGGTAGGGTTGTCCTAATAGGAGGGAATCAAGAAAAAGTAGTCCTAGCAAACAGTAGGGCTCGGTTTGTTGGTACTCAAATTGTATGGCAGTATAAAATATAAATGAATGCAAATTTTATCTTATTTTCATTTTATATTTTGTTTTGTTTTGTTTGTTTAGAAGAGTAAAATAATGTGATCCCACTTTATATGAGAGAAAAAAAAATGAATGAAGGTACAGAAAAAAAGTGGTGCAAATTTTGTATCATTTTCTAAGATGTAAAGTCTACATGGCCAATAAATGCAAATTAGAAAAAGAAAAGTGCAAATAGTGCATCAGATAATAGTGCAAATCAATGTTTTAAAAATCAATTCAGAACTGAAACTGCTTTCCACTGGTTTCTAGGTTAGTGGTTTGACTGTCTAATTCAAATGCATAGCCTGTTCCAAATTAAAAAAAAAATTAAAAAATAATTCAAATAAAAAACAGTACCATTGTCTGAGTCAAATTGGTAAATGGTTCAACCACCTGAGTCAGTAGGTCGCTGACCAAGTCAATGATTTTTGGCCATAGAACGGATTAAGGGTGAAATGAAACTGATTGTCTAAACGTTTTTGGGCCAATGGTTTGACCATCCAGATCAACAAGAGTTTGAAAACACTGACACATATAGGATGCAATGTCCACTTTTAGCAAATTAAGAGAGAAATACAAAATATATTGACCTGAGTATGTCCAACCGTCCAAGTAAAAGAATGAAAGAAACTTAAAATGATAGCAAATTAAAAAGCCTAAATAAAAAAACTTACAAATTTTATTTTTGCAATTAGAAAAATAATAGTTTAATCAATGTTTTGCTAATAATGGGTAGGACTATAATTGCACAACCGAAACAAACATTAGGCTAAATGCTGAAAAGTCATTGTAAACAATATCTCTTGGTGGCTTGCTCCTTCCAAGGACAAATCCATCAGCTAAAACAAGGAAAAAGAGAAAGAAAGAAATTGTATAAAGGACAAAGTTGAAATCCATTTGATTTAAGATCAAACAGTTTGATTGATAGTTGTGTGTTAGGGCTATGAGTAGGTGAGAACCGGGAGATCACCCTGAAAGTATATGAACCCAATTGATCAATTTATAATGAATTTCAAGAGATAAAGACAAATCTTGATTATGATTATCTTGCAAAATTGATTGCATGATCCAAAATATTTGTCTTAACATCTTGTCCTTTACTAGTTTTTCTTTTAGTTTATTTGAAGATCATACTCACCATTGTTAGACTTGTCTCAGACAGGTTGGACCTTTGGTCCGGCAACCAGCAAACGGGTTGGGTTCAGTACCAAGTTCATGTCAGCCCAAACTTGACCCGACCCAATTAAAATAGAGAGGGTAGAGGGATTATCCGAACCCTACCCAATCTATGTATGAACATTCCAACGCTGCAGCCGCTATGGCAACAATCCAAACCACAACAACCCGAATCAAGTTCGACCTGACCCAACCAGATAGAGTCGGGTCAGGAGTGATATTACTATTTCACCCGCTCCACTGACATTGGGGTGTGTGTGTGTTTTATCTATATATTTTTTTTATTTTATTTAGATGAACGATCAAACCGGTCAGATAAGTGAACCCGTGACCCAGTGGTTAAATTAATTTTATTGGTTCCTTAGATGAATAATAGGGATTATACCGGAAAGGGGATAGTTATTCATTAAATAATTTATATTTGGATTTAACAATGTGAGATGTCCAAGATTTGGGGACAAGTGATTGAAAAAAGCAACGTATCTCCTTTGATAGTTTTCACATTCATTCATGTAAGAATTAAGATTAGATAATTTGTTAAAATAAGGTAAATTTGGGAGAAGATTAGGACAACATTTTCATTGTTTACGAGGATTTATTTATTTAACCACATCTTAATTTCTTAATTATTTAATAAAGACAGTTATGCTTAGGACATCCTGATCCCATTACTTTACTATTTTTTATCTCGGATATTAAACCAGCTGTTTTCGTTTTAATCTTATGATATTATATTATTGCGTATAAAGTATATACCATAGCAGCTTTCCAAATCTACGGGTATATACGAATTGATTATCAATCTGTTTATTAATGGCCTCATGGCCCACCTTCGAGATTGGTCATCTCTTCTGCATGCATGCCTGAAGCCCGATGGGATAGAGAATTAGAGATGGGGGCATTGTCTCTTTAAAACGAGAGATTCTCCACTGAATCAGAACCCACTCCCCTGTTAGGCTGTTACTATGTTTTGAAGCCGCAAGATGATTCTATTCAAATTTGACTACAGTTTTAACACCGTGAATTAGGAATCGTAGATGATACAATATAAAACGTCTCTTGCTAGAGCAGGCATTGGATACTTCTCTTTAAGCTAACAGATAGGACCCACAGAATATCATCATCACATGCAAACATTTGATCACCTCGCGACATCACATGCATGTGAGATGACACTTCACTTCTCTGCGTTTTAATTTAAACCCCACACCAGCAGTCCTATCGGACCTCTAACTCTAAGCTTCACCACTGTAAACACTGAAAGATGTTCTCTTCATTGATTTCTTCTTCTCGTCCATCATCCCTTCTCTCAGCCCTCACTGTTTTTGTTCTTCTTCTCTGTGTCGGTTCTGTTTCATCGTTCACTAAGATTGGCCAGGGATACCATCTCATCTCCATTGAAGAGTACCCTAATGGAGGAGGCCTTCTGGGTCATTTGCAAGTGAAGAAAAAGACCACCACATATGGTCCTGATATTCCTCAGTTGCTGCTCTTTGTCAAGTACATTCTCCTCCCTTTTAGTGATTCACCCTGTTTCATTTTGTGGATATCTTGTATCAATCTCTTTTGACAGATCATTACCGAAAATGCTTCTGATGTTTGGTTTTCTAGGCATGAAACACAGGATCGCTTAAGGGTTCACATAACTGATGCAGAGAAGCAAAGATGGGAGGTTCCATACAACTTACTACCAAGACAACAGCCGCCTCCATTGAAGAAAACTCTTGGGGAGTCTACAAAACTTCCTTTTACTGCTTCTGAGTACTCAGGCAATGAGCTTATCTTCAGCTATACTACAGACCCGTTTGGGTTTGCAGTGAAAAGGAAATCAAATGGGCAAGTCCTATTCAACTCAAGTGCTGATGAATCAGACCCATATGGAAATTTGGTGTTCAAAGATCAATATCTTGAAATCTCAACCAAATTGCCTAAAGATGCTTCACTGTACGGGCTTGGAGAAAACACCCAACCAAAGGGGATTAAGATACAGCCCAACGATCCTTACACTCTGTATACCACAGATATCTCTGCAATTAATCTCAATATGGATTTATATGGGTCTCATCCAGTTTACATGGATCTGAGGAATGCTGGTGGAGAGGCTTCAGCACATGCAGTTTTGTTGCTGAACAGTAATGGAATGGATGTGTTTTACAGGGGGAACTCCCTGACTTACAAGATCATTGGGGGTGTGTTGGATTTCTATTTTTTCGCAGGTCCAACTCCTCTATCTGTTGTTGATCAGTATACAGCCTTTGTGGGTCGTCCTGCTCCCATGCCTTACTGGGCTCTCGGTATGTTTTGCTATCTAAAATTTATTGTGATTCGCCTTCTTATTTTTATTACCTTAGGTTTTTCAGTTGTCTTAAATATATAAATTGAATGCCAGCTCTGGTTCATTCTTTAGACACATGGATATAATGCAAATTGTGTTTAGATGTGTAATTACTGCTTTATGTCGAGAGGACAGCAGATCATACAATTTGCCATTAAAAATGGCTAATGGCCTAATTAGTCTTGAAGTTCTAAAATCAGGATAATTTGATTGCTCTCCATTTTGGACACAGTAGATGATTAATAATGCTGCTTCTTATTGGAATTAAAAGAGATTAGTTTAATGAAATATTGACTGGTGGTGAATGGTTATCATATTTTTACCTACATTGCCTGCTTTTTTGATGATCACATGGTCTGTTGAATTGGACCTAGTTCTTTTAACACTCTGTAGTTGGTATTTTTTTTATAAGCTTAGTTCATGTTTTACTGAGTAACCCTCTCTTGAATTTGCATTTTACTTGACTAATAGTAATATGCTTCTTAACTTGACTTGATCGTAAATATAGACAAAAGAGAGAATTTTAGGCCTTCCCTTAACCCTTCCCATGATTTGATTGTCTGTTTTCTTTTTCTTTTTCTTTTTTTTTATGCTTTGATTGTCTGTTAGAAAGCAAAGAATCTCAGCCTTTTAGCTAGCTAGCTTTACAAAAAGCTACAAATTAATTTTCATGTTTGTCCTGCTAAGGGCAAGCCCTTTCCCTATAAGACGTGAGGAATCAACCGACACAGTTTCCTTATTTTCCCAGGAGAAAGGCCGGGCTGTTGAAAAAATTAAATAAGAAAACAAGAAAATTAAATTGATGTTGGGTCGTGTTGGAACCATCCTACTCCGACCCCACCTCCCGCGTCGGTTCAATAAGTTACACATTGAAGACAAAACCTTCTTTTTACTGTTACTAATGAGGAGAAAAAGATTTTTCCTTTTTCACTGAGGAAGCCCACCATGGGCATCAGATCGAGGATCACCCAGTACTTAATTAAGAGGGGTTGGGGCTTCATCCCTATACTGTTAATTAGATAGGGTTTTGACATAAACATAATAGAGTGCAGTTGATGTTTTAATTTCTTGATTCAAAGCCTTCTCACCTCTGATAGTTTGTCCTTGGAAGTCTGGACTATGAGACATCCAGTCATCATTTAATTCTTCTGCTTGGTTCAAAACAATATTTTATAATGCTCACCCTCCTCTAAAGTCTAAACTGATGAGTTTATATGTATAGCAATCAGAAATTTACAACACTGACTTAGGTTAATGTGAAATTTACAGGTTTCCACCAATGCAGATGGGGGTACCATAATGTGTCCGCAGTTGAAGCTGTGGTTGAGAACTACAGGAAGGCCCAGATCCCGCTGGATGTGATGTGGACTGACGACGACCACATGGATGCGGCCAAGGACTTCACCCTTGACCCCATCAACTTCCCTCGTTCAAAGCTTTCGGCATTGGTGGAAAAACTACATTCCAGAGGGATGAAATACATTGTCCTCATCGACCCTGGGATTGCTGTGAATTCCTCTTATGGAGTTTACCAACGTGGCATGGCCAATGATGTGTTCATAAAGTATGAAGGAGAGCCGTACCTGGCTCAAGTCTGGCCGGGGCCAGTCTACTTCCCAGACTACCTTAATCCCAAAACTGCAAGCTGGTGGAGCGACGAGATCCGGAGGTTCCGTGAACTTGTACCTGTTGATGGCTTATGGATTGATATGAATGAAGCTTCCAACTTCTGCACCGGTAAATGCAGAATCCCAAAGAACAGACCGTGTCCTGGCAACCCTGGGTGGCTCTGTTGCTTGGACTGTGAGGTGATAAATAAGACTAGATGGGATGATCCACCTTACAAGATAAACGCTTCAGGGGCGCTAGCCCCGATAGGAAACAAAACAATTGCTACAAGTGCTGTTCATTACAATGGGGTGTTGGAGTACGATGCCCACAGCCTGTATGGTTTCTCTCAAGCCGTTRCAACCCACAAGGCGCTTCAACAGCTCATTGGCAAGCGCCCATTCGTGCTATCACGCTCCACCTTTGTTGGGTCAGGATCGTATGCTGCACATTGGACTGGTGACAACAAGGGCAAATGGGCGGACCTCAAGTATTCCATATCAACTATTCTCAATTTTGGCATATTTGGGATACCTATGGTGGGTTCTGATATTTGTGGGTTCTACCCAGCGCCCACAGAAGAGCTCTGCAATCGCTGGATTGAGCTTGGGGCATTCTACCCTTTCTCCAGGGATCACGCAAACTACTATTCCCCTAGCCAGGAGCTCTATGTATGGAAGTCGGTTGCACAGTCGGCTCGAAATGCTCTGGGCATGCGGTATAAGCTCCTCCCTTACTTGTACACCTTGAACTATGAAGCTCACACTACTGGCGCCCCAATGGCCAGGCCGCTGTTCTTCACGTTCCCCAATTTCACTAAGTCCTACGGCTTGAGCACACAGTTCCTGCTGGGCAGCAGCGTCATGGTCTCCCCGGTCTTGAGGAAGGGGACATCAAAAGTCAAGGTACTGTTTGCTCCAGGAACTTGGTACAGCTTATTCGATATGAAGCAGACTATTATCTCCAAACGAGGACACTTCCTCACGCTTGATGCGCCATTGCATGTCATCAATGTCCATGTGTATCAGAACGCTATCATCCCCATGCAACGGGGAGGTATGACATCCAAAGAAGCGAGGATGACGCCATTCAGCCTTGTGGTGACATTCCCGGCAGGAGCTGCCGAGGGACTGGCTAAAGGAAAGCTTTTCCTTGATGATGACGAGCTTCCAGAGATGAAGCTTGGAAATGGGTACTCTACTTACATAGATTTGTATGCCACTGTTAGCCAGAAAACGGTGAAGGTGTGGTCGGAAGTTCAAGAGGGTAAGTTTGCCTTGGAGAATGGATGGATTATCGAGAAGGTAACAGTATTGGGATTGGGTGGAATAGGACAGGATCTGTTTATTGAGGTCGATGGAGAACCAATTTCAAGCCTTTCAAACGTTGAGTTTAGTGCTTCGGAACACAACTACTTGGAGAAGCTAGAAGATGGGGGAGATAAAGAGAAGACGGTGATGGTTGAGGTTCAAGGATTAGAATTGCCTGTTGGGAAGAACTTTGCTATGTCCTGGAAAATTGGGGTCAAAGGATGAGGTTGAATGCATGGAGATTTATCTCTCAATGCCCGCCCTTATTTTCCCAATTTCAGGTTCTCTTTCGGTTTCTTTTTTCCTTTCTTACAATTGTTGTTGGGTTACCCATTGTTAAGGGTGAACAGACAAACTACTCATCTCTTGCCTTGCAAGCAAACTAAGACTACTCTAAAGACTTATATATGGACCCTTCCTACTTCCTAGTTCCTTTCTTTTCAAAGTTCCCCCAACTTGGGTTGAACTTTGAAGAATCAAAATTAATTGTGAAATCTGCAAGTCATAAGGCCGTATTGGCAGTTCAATGGTCCAATTTCGGCTTGCTTTCTTTTTGATTAATCTTTGTTTCTCCTATTAAAATAATTAGAGGGTGAGCTTTTGGCCCAACGTTGGATTGTTCCATCTCAGCTTGGATAATCAGTGTTCAAATTTTGAAAACAGTGTGCAGGGGTGAAGGTTCATCCGTTCATGCATGTCCCTCCCCCAACCCCACGTTGACAGGAGCCTCGTGCACTGGCTTCCCTTTTCTCCTTTAAAATTAATGAGACAATTTTGCATCAGCCTGCTTGCAAATTATACACTGAAAACACATGAATGCAAATCTGAACAAGATGCAAATTTTTGCAACCAATTTGGATAGCTCAATGGAGATTATGTTGAAACAAACGCACCTTCAAGAGAATAACAGTCGTATTTTGGTAATGGAATTTGAGCAAGAAACCTCTAGCTTATAGATTTCAACTTTGTTTCATACATTATTTTTGTATTTACGTGGTTGTTCATATTTCAAATTTGTTTTATAACAAATAAAAAGAACTCACAGAAATCGTTTAGGCTGTGTTTGGTTTTTTTTAAAAAAAAAAAAGAGTAGGGAATGGTAGGAAACCTTTATAAACCATGTACAGTCTTCCCTACCATTTTTTAAACCAAACACAGCCTTAAATCATAGTTCCCTAAGCGGAAAATTTGAATGTTTACCTTTTGAAACCAGCTTTTTTTTTCTGTATATGGTACTTATTACTTACCAAAGGAAAACTAGAGCTAAGATGTCCATGAATGGCTTAAAGAAAAAGGCAAAGTTGAACAAAAAATGAAACCTGCAAAACTGCCCGTTACACCCCCTGTGGTGGATGTGGAGGGGTTGGGCCACACAGACTACCCAACCCATTTTCTATTGATGGACCTGACCCAAAGGCCCTCACAAATTGTTTCTACATCTCTACCTACAGCACATCACCCTAGTATATCAGGAACACATCCCGGAGATATTCCCAATGCATTGATGTAATGTCCTGTTGGTAGAATGTGAAAACAACTTGTGAACAGCAGATCTGAGCCCGTTATATTGTTGGGTTTTCTCATATTGAGCTTAGGGCGTAGGGTATTTTTTTAAAGAGGTTGTTCAAATCTTGTACACTCATTATCATATTTTTAATAGATCTATGTTTTTCCACCCCCTGTGAGCGTAGGCAAAGGCCCAACCACATAAGTCTATGTATGCTCTGTTTTTTCTTTCTTCTCTTGTTTTTCATATCTTTGTTTTACTTCGTTATTTTGTACCACTATCTATTGTTATTGGTTTTGTGCAATACCTTCATTAGAAATTAGAAGGGCAATGAAGAAAGGGAAGTCACCCCACCATAAGCCTTTTGTAAAAGTCAATACGAAGATCAGCACTAGGGGTGCAACTTGGGAAGGCCCAATCCGAGCCTGAACTGATTAACCCAGAATTTTATACGGGTTGGGTTTGAATTTTTGGTCTTTGGGCTGGGTTTAGGCCCAAGAAGTCAATCATTTTAATTTTTTGGGCCGGGCTCGGGTCTAGCCCTTAGGTAGCCCAAATTCGACCAGAGCCCGGCCTAACTATATACATTTATACATACATATGTTTATATATGTAAATGTTGCATATATATATGTGTCTGTGTGTGTGTATGTATGTATGTATATATATATATATATATAAATACATTACATTTATATATTTATAATTTTAGAGTGGATTTATTGACCAACCCGAGCCCAATTCGAGTGCATTAAATTATAATACGGGCTAGGCTTGGGTTAAGAAAATCAGGCTTGACCGCAAATTCGGACCTTAAGCCCAAGTTTTAGGACCAGGCCTAGATTGACCATAACCCCGGCCAACCCGTCTGACTTGCACCCCTAATCATGACCTGTATAGATAAGAAAATGGAAGAAAGTGGGGAGGATGATGGTTTTGCTTTTAATGGAATTCCAACAGTTCCAGATTATTCCCAGGAGTTTGAAAGATCGTACAAGCTATGAATCACTAGCTACTTGAATTGGAGTCGTGAGTAGAAAAAAGAAATGAAATAGGGATAAGTAGACTGCACTCCACCTCAAAAATTTGAAATTACAACCCCCTCCTAGTCTACAAGTAGCCCCCCTATAAACCGCATCCTGTCCATGGATTTGGCATCGATCCATGATCAAATTCATCCCACCTATACAGTGTAGCTAAGATTTTTAGGGGTGGATTGAACAGTAAAAATCCCAAAAAATATTATGAAATTATTTATTAATGTTTTAATTATTTAGGGTCTCTTTGGAATCGGAATCGGAATGATCTATTTCCAGTCTGTATGGTTCAAACAAAAATTGAAATGAGATTTAAAATTAAATGAGATTTTATTCTCAAGAGAGAGAGAGAGAGGGAATGGTCATTCCCTCAAAATAGAGAATACCAATCCATCAGGAATGAGAATGGAATTCCAATTCTGTCTAATCAAACAGATGAAATCAGAAAGCCCAATTTTGATTTGGATTCCGGACTCCTATTCCCACGATCCAAATGTGCCCTTAATTTGCTCTTAAACTAGTTTGGATATTCTTACGGATGTCGATGGATCTTGAACTTGACCTGACCAACACAGCTTTATCATATCCCACTCCACTAATTCTCGTTTGGGAGGCCAGAGGGGCTTTTCAGAAGGAAATCACCCAGACAACCTACAAGGAATTGGTAAAAATTCAAAAAGCCCGAATTTGTTTGTTGTCTTTCAACCATAAAAAACAGTTTTAAATTGAAGTTTCTTTTAAGAAGTAGGATTAGCTGAACGCAATGGCTGTCCAGCGGACTGTTGAACTTGAGCCAATGATGGTGTTTCACTCTAGTAGTAAATTCATAGGCTGTCTCACTGTAAAAGGTGTAGGTTTCATGTATATTTATTACTGGTGTGGAACATTATTATTGATTCCACAGTCTACTTTAGCTAATCTTGCTCTTCTTTTAGGGCCAGTATGAGAGTGCTGAGGTGCAACATTCAGTTAGCCTTCTGCTTTGAGGTGCTCCAGATAAACTATCTAAAGAGACCGAATTGGATAGCCAAAAAAATAACGGATTGGCAGCGGAATTTTGCTCTCCAAAATTTTCACCTTGGGAAGTCAGAAGCCACTGCGTTTCATCCCTCTGAAATGGGCACTTAATTAGGAGTTAAAATGGATCAATCCGATCATGACCCAATCCGAATATATATTATTATTATTATTTATTTTTCTATAAAAAGACATGATATATATATATATGTATATATATATATGATAAGAATAGTTGAAATAATACTTATATTTTTTGTTTTTTTTTTATATAAACTGTTACTTTTTCCCCTTTAATAATTTGTTAAATTTTACAGAATTAAACAAAATCACATCATATTCGGAATATCTGGCATCCTTAATGGATTCAAATTCGAACTGACCTTTGTGAGCTCCGATTGGATCATTGATTGCTTCTCCAAAAGAGCTTGGTAAAAGCAGCTCCATGAAGGCATCGACCAAAAGGTGGTAAGGCAGTAAGGGCCCAAATTCGGTCTTCCCGTCTAGGTGCTAAAGGGACATAATCGGGAAATGTCCAGGCCCATCAATCAACCTTACCAGGTTCACGTCGCAGGGGGATGAATGATTTCAATTTTCAACGTAAGATGATAAGAACGTGAAAAACCTAGTGGCGACATACATTTTTCAAATTAAAATACAGATTAGGAAGATGTTTTCTTTTTCCTCTTCTTCCTCACACGACAACTTCAAAAACAGATGAGAATAAAAACATTCATGTCGCAGGAAACGCCCTTAAAAACCTAAAAATGCAATACATACCAACCGCTACACATCTCTTTTCTTTTTATTATTTTTGAAGTTGATCTTTAATCTCGGCTTATCTCTCGAAAATCAATTACATAGTATTATTAATCATGACTTCTCCCAATTTTAGTCTTTACAGGGCAAAAGTAATTGCTTAAACAATGTACACGAACAACATTTTCTACCATTTTTAGAACAAAAATCAGAACCAACAGACTTGAATCAATTATAATCCTAACAAGACTTACAAGTTATATGCAAAAGCTAGCGATGAATATTGCAAACTCGTGGACATATCCATGAAAACTGAATACATTAGTTCTTGAAGGATTTTCACTTGGAGAGGTATAGTCACTTTATCAAACAAATTAAGTGTATCCTTCGTAGTTGGTGTCCTTAGATATTGATTTTTGCAAATGAAACTGAGAGGTCCGATTAACTGTGATGAGAGAGAGAGAGAAAGCATTTGAATCCAGATTTTATCTTTACAAAATTGGTCCTCACATTGTCCTCATAACCTTTGGGAGTTTGGATCTCCACCTCACAGAATATGCCTAGCACCAACCTCACAGCATGTTTTGGCCATGCATCTAAAACATCTTCCTGTGAATTAAAATTTATAAGCGCGGATATGTTTCAGATACAGGCCAAAACGTACTGTGAGATCGGTGTGAAGCACCCTTTATGAGGAGCAAATCCAAATTCAACCCTAACAGCCATAAATTAAAAACATCTTCCCATAATGAAAACATACAAGAAGGGACAAAATAGCAGTCAATAGAGTGGGTGGGTGGAGTGGGGGAGAACACGGCTAGACTTACGCTGCACCTGTCCAAGTCACACTGAGGTCAAGTCCAACCTATTTAATAAATGGGCTTAGACATTGGCCTCTGAGTCTCTGACCCTAATATCAAATTACGATAAGGTTTAAAGGCAACGTCACTCTCTCTTGAAGGGCTCATGTCATTTACCAAAATAAATAAGGAAGAACACATGTCTAGACTTTGAGCTATGCCTGTATGCCACACTAAGGCTAAGTTTGGTTTGAAGGAAAAAGTGGGTAAAAGAAAAGAAAGATAAGAAAATTTATATAAGGTTTGTAAAGATTTTTCTAATTTTCCTTTCCTTTTCCTATTTTTTCCTTTAAAACAAACACAGCCTAAATGTAACATGGGCCTTGATCCAGCCCATTGGCTAATGGATCAATTCAAGCCTGTCTCTCGGCTTTGACTACTTC